GAAAATGGATCCGATGAAAAGTCAAACTGCTGTAAATTTATATATAAAGGTTTAAAGTTTGGAAACTAGCAAACAAGAAATAAAATTTATTCTCTAAAATATTCAAATACTCATGCAAATACGTGTAAGAAAGTAAATAAAATCTAACCACTTGTGGAAAAATACGAAATTATCGATGTTCGATGTTAAGCATTAGGTTGTCTCTTTTTCTACAACCCTTATTCTAAAAGTATTCATATCTCATTTGTCTTGATCCCTTACCTTCCTTAAATTTGCTTTATGGTTGCGGAATTAACGATAATCTTACGGTCGCGAGTAGAGACCTTAAAAGATCACGAAACAACGGAGAAGATACACAGTAAAAGACCAACGCACAAAGTGAAGTGTAGTATAAATTACTTATAATCAGACTGTGGTTTAACACACTAAAACCAAAGCCCAAAAGTTCTCCTAGAATCTTAAGATGTCAAAGAGAAAATACAGAATACATTATTTTTTATTAATGTAAAACGTCCGTTCTTGTGATTTCTTTGATTTCACAGCTGCTTTTTATTAATCTATCAAATACAAACTTTCATAAACTAAATTTTATGAAGCACTATTTTTGACTTTTTTCATTAATAACTTATTGGATAAACTTTAGGAAATGACGTCTGTTTTTCGTACTTTTTGTCCTTCAATAATACTTTTATCAATGAAATTAAAGTACACAGGGTGTCGATACATCATAGTACATGTATTTTGAACATTATCACATTTCTGTATTCCTTTAAATGCATATTTTAATTTACGATTTTGCATACAATTTCCATGAAATAATCCTTTTTTATGTTTTTATTTTTTATATTTCTTTGGACAAAATCTTTTATTTAAAAGTGTGTATAACCTAAAGATAATTAAGACAGTAAACTCAGCGCATTTTTAAAAAAAAAAACGAAATAAAATTGTTAATGTTACAATAAAAGAATTAAATACAGTAATATATCAATCCGTTCAAAATGTCACAAGTTCAAATTCCTTTCCGGTTGTTGATTTTAATTTATCTTGATTAACCATCGAACAATTAATCAGGGGTCGAGGCTGAGTGCAAACTCCCATGATGCCGAGGGTGCAGTCATCCATCTTGGCCCCGGTCACCGGTTGACACAGTTTGTGACATATTACCATTAATGACCCAATCACTGTTGATTTGTAAAGCTAAACTATTTAAAATTTACAGAGTTTTGTTGACAGATGACATAACGAGTTCTTCGTGCACTCGGAGTTTAACAGCCGATTGACCTGCTGACCGCCAGAACCAGTCGAGGTGTGAAATTCCTCCGCCGTAAGGTTATATATCTAAACAATTCCCGCTTGCACTTCTTTTGATGATCGGAACGCCTCGGGATATATGGACCGACTGGTTATGTATTGGTTACAAAGTCAGTGAACGATGCCAATTAAAATTCTCTTTTAGGACAGATGGCTATCTGCAATATTTAGAAGTTCTTCACAAATTTGTTGCTATTTCTAGAAAGGTCTTTAGGTTAAGGCAATAAAATGCCACTGAACTCGGAAAAGGCTGAGCTAGCAAATAATATTGTAAAGTTTTCTCGTGTGTCCAATTTACCCCCATTTCAACCCGGTCATCATAAAAAAAAAAGATTCCCTCTCTTTAAATAGACACCAAAATTTAATTCCATTCACTTAAAAAGCTGAAATGATTTTTTTTTTCATGTTGACTTTTTGGTAATATTCATATTTATGTTTATAAAATATGGAGAGTAAAAAAAGAATTAAAGTTTTTTTGTCTACTTTTTTCAGCTTGTTCGAAATTTTTTTCTTGTCACTCGTATCAAATCTGTCAAATGAATGGCGTGTCTTTGGGGAACGCCTCGGAAAAAATTTGAATCAAAACCGAGGAAAATTAATTCTAAATGGAATTGATTGGAAACTAAAAACAATCGATCATTCATTTCTCAATGAATCGCCCAAAAGAGAGTTCAATTCAATTAGTTTATAAAATGACATATAAAAAGTATCAATGTACTACATGTAGAAAATTAACATACAGATTAATTTGATTTGACACATTTGCTTGGAAATAGAAAAGAACAGTGTTATTTTTAAATGTTATCAAAATGAAAGGGGAAATTTGATCCTTTAAGTTAAAAAATAAAAAAAATCTAAATCTATCTTCCAATTGCGTACATCTTAGTAAATGAAAAACCACTGACATTATAATAAAGCTGGGTTTTAAAGGACATATTTATTAATTAAAAATATTTTTTATCCTATCGAATAAAAAAATTGAACTTTATTCTTTATTCATTTTTTAATATACCTGTTTGTTTTTCATGATGACACTTTATCGATTCTATGTATTAGTATATTTGTCTCATTTTAAACTTTTTTGGCGTCATTTTGACCCTCCGTGGTCTAATATAAGAACTTGTAAGATAGGAAACTAAGTCCTACATGTGCATATATATGTACAGTATAAATATAAGGCATACTATAATACCGGTCGTTTCAATAATTGAATAGATATGCACATGAAATACGGCACCGTGGTAATAGAATAAAACATCACGATAGCAGGCAGAGCCTTTGGGTTTCTTTGTTTTTATTTTGTTGACCATAGACCCTGTAGAAATAAGATCCTAGTATACATATAACGTCTACTGAAGACCATAAGTCTTGTTTGATCCGACCGATATAAGTTATTTTACTTCCATGTGATTGTCATTCGATCGTGTCTTATTAATTTATTAATTAATTATTTATTTTACTGTTGTTGAATGCATTATGGGTAATAAAAATGCATGTTTTATGGCGCGGCATATCGTGTAAGCTTGTATGTACAGATATATATAATTATCGGTCCCAGATAGCGAAATATACACAATGTAAACAAAGCTACACTACTACGGGTTTATTGCATGTAACTAGTGCAGTTGAGAGAAGCGTATACCGTTAAAGCGAAGACTACATGTATGCCTTTCATAACGCTTTTTTTTGTGGTTAATCATAAAAAAAGTAATTAATTCATATCTTTTACATCTAAATTAATTATAAAACAATATGTAAAAAGTAATTAAATCAACGCACATTCAAATTAATTTACAAAACAATATCTTTTAATTTAAAACAAAGGCGTCATTCAGGAACACAATGCATCTTTTTTTTTTTTTAAATCATGAGTATTTTTGATTTTCTTTGTCATCGTAAACCAGCATGTCAAATTAATAGTTTTCCACTTGGAAAATTGAATTAACTTTTACCAATGATGAATTCCTCTTTAAAAGGCAATCAATCAAAAAGATCAATTAAATATATATTCCCAACATTGACATTTTCCCATCCAAATTGACTTAAGAACAAGTCAATCATATCATTAATGTCAGCGTGAGTATATAAGCTTTAGGTTTATTTTAAGTTTTGCACATTTCCATTTCGGATCTGGTTAAAGACACTTCTGTTCAAAAGCATTAAATTGATTCAGTGGGATGTGCCCATTGAAAGAGGGGGGTGGGGGGGGGGGGCAGATGCAGAAACGATGAAAATCAGCAACAACCTTGACGCTGTAAACATGTATTTAAACCTTGCTATTTTGTAATATTTCTATTTCGTTTTTGGCACGGTACATAAAGTTTTCAAGGGTATCCTTTTCAATACTTGAATCTTTTTTTTTTCAGTTCATTCAAAGTTTACATTTAAAGCCATCAAAGTAAAAATTAATAGAAAATTGAAATCAGTTTCGCTCTTCTTTATCAAAAATTGAAAGACTACACAAAGGGGTTCTCTAATATGTAGTTATACAAAATTTTCTATCAACAAACATGTTTTGAAACCTGGATATGAGTGCACTTTCCTTTTCCTGTGCGCTATTTCCAAATACTCACTAAAGGAGTTCAACTGTGTAAATGTGAAATTGATTTATCAAAGTAGATTAATAACAAGTCATTAAATAAATTAGCGAAATTTATTTCTAACATGGATGATTTTCATTTCAAGGTACAAGAATAAATTATGTCAAGGCCGACATAATAATATCTGTAGCATCTTAAACTACTGTGCGTATATGTCTGAAAACAGATAGCTTTGTACACGTTTTCAGGATATGTACGTTTTTCAATTTAATATCATAAAACTTCTCTGCTACAGTAAGTTAATTTGTAAGCATCTCCTTGATCTAGACTACTCCTTTGTCATGTTAAACTAGTAATTAAGTATTAGCCTTGGCACAGTCATTCTTTATAAGGCTTCTTGTCCATAAACATGAGAAAAAACTTGTCAAAATTTTTATGCTAAATACCGTGATTTTTATTTCAAACGCATGTTTCAAAAATTATATGTTTATATATTACTCAAAAATATTTTTTATAAGTTCCATCAACTTGAAATTGTGACGTTTCATGTGCATGATTTTGAGGCTAGATCAACACTGTGAATAATGGGGTTTTAGCAAGACAAACATCATAAAGAAAATAAAAGATACATTTTAATGTTTAAAAAAACTTCACTTCCTGCAAAGATGATAAAAATCTGAACTTCTGAAGATAATTGCTCGTTGGCTGCTCTTATAAATAGAGAATTGCATTGATTGTAATCAGAAACCTACAAGATGTCATGAAACCTGGGATCTTTTTCTAATCACAAGCTTAATTATATTTTAGTGCAGATGTTCGCCTATTCATCATTGACAATTATACTGTACATTGTCAGACCTACAATACATCCATAAGTTTGGCAAAAGAGGCCCCTTTTTTCACGAAGAAGAAGAGTGACACCAATTTTAACCAATTTTGAAGATCAACCTTGAAATGATCATCCTTAAGTAGTAGTATTAATCATTCTCGTATTATAAATCTGCTTGTGTAAGCGCGAGTGTGACAACCTTGGATTTTAAAGCCCCCTTTTATGCAATCTAAAGAGACATTTTACAGATTAGGAAGAAAGGTGATGATCGTAAGACATTTTGAATACACAACAAGAAAAAAATTAAAAGACAGGTAAAATACTTTTTTATGCATTTATTCTTCGAATAGCATGATAATATCTTTACAAATGTTAAATTGCAGAGACAATTTTACATTAATAGATCATTATTGCAATAAATCAAATAGTGTCAGGGTCTCACATATTGTAAAGTCATGCCACTTAAAAAGAAAATCATGATGATGGAATATTATTTTACACCTGATGGGCTTCATCAAAGAAGGTACTATAGCTGGAAGGTGAATTATCGCTTCAGGAAAGTTCAGATCCATTAAATGGTTTGGTGAAAGGGAACACGTTATACGCCCTGTACTGTTCGATGAGGATGTACCTTTGTTATGACGAAAACATTGTCTCAATGTTCTTTAATGAAAAGGCACAGTTTTTGACTTGCAAAAAAACAACGTCTTTAGAATTATTGTTAAATTGCTGATGTTGACTTCTGCGAAAGCAAAATGTCTTTTTTGAATATTCTGTTCAAGAACGTCGTATTTTTGAGCTGATGATGGCGACTCAATATAAATTGATAGTATCCTCAGTCACGACCAGCTATTTCGAATCATGAGTTCCCACTTGAGGGTCCGAAAGTTCTCGCCAGTCCATGACGGGTTTTTGGACACTGAGAATTCTTATGATCGGGGTAATCATAATAAAGTTAAATCCAAGCACTGCTGCAGTAGGATCTTCATCGGCTGAACACTCGCTTGATTAAGCTGGATCGGCGTTTTCTGCACTTAAGGGTTGCCATCACGACTTGTTCGAAAATGTCTTTGACGCCAGTTTTCTGCATTGCTGAGCACTCCAGATAACTAAAGGCCCCAATCTGCTTGGCAAGATTTTCACCTTCTTCTTTAGATACATGGCTAGAGTTCTCCTTCCTGAGGTCGGTTTGAGTTGCCACCAAAACCATAGGACGTTTTCTGTCGATCTGGCGGATTTCGGGGATCCAAAAATCTTTCACATTTTCCAAGGACTCCCGATCAACTGTGCTGAAGCAGACAACAAAAATGTCATTGCTTCTGTACTCCTGTGTTCTGACTTTCTCAAAGTCATGCTGAAAAAATAAAAAGAACGCTATTACTTTTTCGTCGGTAACATGCTTGAAATTCACTGAACTCATAAAAAAAAGAATTCAAGTAGATTATAAATTCAAAAAGACAATTACCTGTCCAGATAAATCCAGGATGCTGAGAGAATATTTGTCGCCTGCCACTGACATGGAAGCAGTAAAGCTCTCCTCAGTTGTGGCGATATATCCATCGTCCAGACCTTGTCCGGTGATGGCTTTAGCGAGGGAAGATTTCCCCACCATTCCATCTCCCACCAAAGAACACTGTACGGTAAATTTATCCATTGCTACAACCATTATAAACTCAAGCTCTTAGTAGTAGTGTGAATTTTCTTCCACAGTAATCTTTCGATTATTAAGCGTAAAACAGGCGGTTCTCGGTATTTATAAGGTGGCAATATAAGCAACCAATCGCAGGTCGTTTCGGTCGATCTAATTTTACCCTCTGGGTTTTACCTGTATTTTACTTATTTCCTTTTCTTTGCACAGGTAAAACTGAGGGACGGCGCGTGGCGACCGTCACTCAGCCGTGAAGACAATAAATCGCCGTTTGTTTGTTTTTACTTCTCATATCATCTTAATTTTCTTTTTGAAGAGTTTGAGGAGGAAATAACATGTCAGAGAAAATCTCGTCTGACAGCAATGACTGTATTATTCTTATACAGGCCACAAGAGCCCTTGTTTAGCATTCTCATTGTAATTTATTTAATTATGAACATGATAAGGACATATGTCCGTCTATTTAGAAAGCTGTCCTCAGCTATGTAAAGTAGCTAAAGTTAATGGATTTTGCATTTTACCTATCTCTTTATCTTTTTTTCAATTTTTAGTGCTAAAATAATGTTGATGGACATTGGTTGACCAATTTTTGTTTATGGATAAAATGTGTTTTACTCTGCATTGCAAAATTAATTTCTTTTTTTCGTTTAAAATTTTATTTGCATTTATTATTTAATTTTTTTTTTTACAAACATTTAAAATTCAGTGCGGGTAGGTACAACTAAAATAGTAATATTAAAGTTGTAAAAAAAATAATCATAAATGTGTCATTGTAATTAAATTAGAAGTAAAACTGCGAGAGTGAAATTAAAATACCTATGTAGATATTCAAATCATTGTGAAGACCTTAATTTGTTGCCATTAATATTTTATCTGACACCATTTTTATGCAAATCTGTCATCAAAAATAAATAAATTCCCTTCACATTTTGTATCACTAATGGCTATTTTATCGGTCATTACTAATAGTAACTGTCAAAATGGACACCCCTGCGGCACGCTTTCTCTTTTGTATTTCGGCTAAATACCATTTAGCAAAGAACTGTTCCTTTCCAGGAGGTATACGATCATCATCAACGATTAATATCACTGATAAAAACAAGGTGACAAAACGCATGGTCAACTTGCCCCAATTCCTAGAAAAAAAACAAGGTTTTTGTTGAAAAATTTACATCCTGATATAAAGCCTCATTAATAAAGAAAAAAGTAAAAAGGAGGCGATTAATGTTATCTTGAACCTTATTAATTATTAAACAGACGCAAAAGACGGGTCACCGCAAAACACAATTAACAACAAAACAAAAAATTAATTAGAACTTATGTCCTTATCTTTAAGGTTAATTTTTTGCATTGAGAGTTCTTTTTTGAATTTTGATGAACATATTCTTCGACAATCATATTATTAATCATTTCACATAATGATTGAATTTTAAGATAAGACCAGATATTTTTTTCTTCACTCGTGATGACAATTTTAAGACTGAGACAAAAGTGAAAAGGGAGAATGGAGAATTTTTTTTTAATATAAAAATATATAACATAAAATACGTTTGTGGTTCTTTATGTTATTGAAGTCCTCAAATATATCACGCTTATCAAACAGCGTCCATGCAGGATAATCACTTTAAAAGTCAATGAAAGTTATATAATTCCAGGTGTAATACTGTAAAACTATCACCTACATCACTGTTCGGAATCATTTAAGACGAGAAATCTTCGAAATTCGTAGAATTTAGACATGAAATTCTAACTTCATAAATATCTTACATTTTAAGACTTTTTTTAACTAAGACTATTTGAATGTTATTAAACTGATCGCCTTTGTACCTCGAGACAGAAATATACTGTTTTCTAATGTTCGGAATATTTCAATACCAGACTGCACTTTGATGGAATCGCACTACACTATTATTAAAATATCTTCTTTTATCTAGAACACAAATACAAAGAAGACAGCGAAGGCCAAGGAACGGGCGTTGCATATTGAACTGAAAGAAACTAAATAAAATGCAAATAGATATAATTTTGGTGCAAGTAAAATTCATCTCCGTAAACATTTTGTTAAAGGAACGGGTAACTGAGGTACTGTTGTTTGTTCGATAAGAAGGAAGCACGTTTCGGTCTGGCAGCTATACATAAATACAACGATGTTTTGTGTAAATGTACCAACCTGCCATATCTCTGTAACAGGGCTGGTTTATGATTTATAACTATAAATAAATAATCAATAGGTATCACAGTAATTCAATTTATTAAATTGAATATTTGGTATCACTTCGTATTTTCTGTATATTGATGTTCAAAATGTTTCAATACCAGACTGCACTTTGATGAAATTGCACATACAATCATTAAAACATTTTCTCTTATCTAGTAAATAAATGTAAAAAAGGTAAGGAATCGACGGTTTAAACATTTGAAACAAACTCCATTCTGTATTGCATAACGTTTACATTCCTTAGCTTATTACCTCAAAAGATTATAACCAAAAATAATTGATATTTACATTTTACTAATATATTTTGTCTATGATGAAGATGTCAATTAATGCAGGAATTAAATATTCATTATTAATAGGTCTGCATGACATCAATAAATGATACTATGACCTTATTTTGGTCTTTAATTAGACTAGAAAATATAGAAACAGAAACGAAGTGAAATTAAAACATCAAATGTAAATATAATATATTTAGTACAATTTACATGTGTATAAGTCAAGCAGTACCAGTTTGCTAATACAATTAATACCATATGCTTATACAATTACATGTAGTTGTCTTCAACCCACCAACCCCATACTCCTTGAAAATCTTGAACCTTTCATAAACAAGACTGAACTAGGTATAAAACACTTAAGAACAGTTGTCCTATATTCCTGATGGAAAGACATCTAAATTGTAATATATTCTAAAAATAGCCATCATGACTTCTTTCCTATTTCATAATGCATAAGTACCTTATTTTATTACATATACAACTTAAAATTATTATACTGATTACATGTATGAATGTCAAATGTTAATTTTTTTAATTGTAGGATTATGTGTGAATTCCGCAACTCCGAGAAATAACTGTCCTTCATTAATAATATTTATGGGGATGAAAATAAAGCAGAACTAAATATTTCTAGAATGGTATGTTTCGTAAATTATTAAGGCCTCGAAAACCACTTTTTTCTCGATGTTTATGAATGCATTGGTATGTGGCATGTTGAACTATGGATTTAACCTTGAATGATGACTGATGCAATAAAAAAGGCAAAAGACAAATTGAAACTTATGAGCTAAAACGAAAAGTATTTTTTTTTTCTGATTAAAATCTAATGGTAGCTATATGTATTTTATAATTATTCTTATGAGCATTCCAGTTCTTTTAATTTTGATTGCAGTTCTTTAAAGATATCAAGGTAGGGAGAGGGTTTCATGATCCTAAATTCTTTTCAAGGGCGTGTTTTCAAAAACTGAAATATTTTCTTTTTGGATTAACATCAGTGTTGTTATATATCTATTAGTGTAGAACATAATCTACAAAATTATTATTTTACATTAAAAAATTTCCGGATGCATAGTTGCGTTATTCTTTCTGTCATGTCTATCTCAACAATAGGATGTTTTGCTATGTAAAATAGCATTTCCTTTAGAAATTTGCAAACAGCAAGACGTTACTTTCTTACTTCGCGAAACAAATGTTCAGTATCTTTTTCTTTTTCAGAACTCATTCTAACCAATTTGTTATTTGTCTTTAGTGATGTAGCATTTTGATCTTAGTAGAAATAAATTTGTCCTCACTATAGAGTACATAACCAGCAGACATTTTTCATTCATCGGACTTCTGTAACTCTCGTGTTTCCGGTGTGGTTTCGTTTACTTGACAACTTGAACATTACTTTATTCTCACCAAGTTTAATGTTCTTTTTGTAACAAATGTGTTTTTGATTGTCTTTCCGCTTAGAAGCTATCTCGTTGTGTTACGGTAAAATTATTGCGTTTTCATTCACGTTTTTCATCATGATTTTAAATATTTAAGTGGTAATTTTAACTTTTTTAATGATAATATTTTATATTCAAAAGCCACAACAAAAACATTATGTGTGTCTATTTCAGGTAAATTTTGAACGAAAAGGGGAAACATGTACTCTTTTGCATGAGTACTTTACTTATTATATTTTTTTATATTCCTAGTCTGCAATGAAATGCTATTACGTCGACTCGAATTGTATATAGGTACATCTCTATTGAGAATTACCCCCTCTACGAAAGAAACAAAATGATTAAATTACTTTAATGAAAAAGATTGATTGACAGAGTTCGATCACTCAATCACCTTTTTCAGTTGTTTAAAATGTGCAGGGGATACACATTCCTCGATGGCACCCGATCCCACCACTGATGTTTTGGAGGTCTGTGTTTGCTCTGCTTCCATTTTGTATAATTGTTTAATGGACTTTTGAGCTTGAATACTGTTATGTAATACATGTTCTTCAAATATTATTAAGATCCAAATATACCTATAGCTTTCTCTCTGGATAAAATAGCTCAATACAAGATTTGTGTGGATTGTCATTTATTGAAAATAAAAATTAGCATTAACAATACAATAACTGGGGAGATCCAAAAACCTTATACAAATGTTCTTTTACATACATATAACAAAGTAAACTTGTATAATGATCTCCCCTGTTACATGCAAAAATAATAACAAAAATAATGTAAATTTCAATAATAATGTCTGCAAAATCTGTTCTTTTTGATTATGAAACATTTTAAAATATAAATTTATACAATTTAAAGGGGAATATTACTGTCCCGTATAAACCATATGCTAATAATAATAAAATCTTGTGTTATATCTTTTTTTTTTTTGATACAATTGATATTCATTTTTTTTTGTAAGCAATATACATGAGAACAAATTATTTTAAATTTTAATGTCATGATAAAAATGTCATTGATGACATTTTATTTCAATGGTTTTCTGGAGACAAAATTTCCCTTATTTCTGGTTTGTTAAGAATTCAATTAAAGATATGCAGAATGCGGTTTATTAATTAGTTTTGTGGTGTATTCTGTAAAGGGTGTGTATCGAACATCAAAGAACATACATATCTGTCGATTTTTTTCCATTGATACAAAATGACAGGTTACACAATGTCTATTTTCAATAGACAGTTTATTTCTGTAGTTAAGGAAAAGTTAAACAATGTAATACTGTGTTTGCTAACTGGGAAATCTTTAACGTTTGTAAAGTAGTCCATGATTGATACACGCCTTAAATATGAAAGATATCTTTCATTTCAAATAATTTATAACAACTGCATTAAATCTCAAACAGCCTGAATGACATATTCTTGTGCCAATATTTACAAAGGAAAAATTGCTTTTCTTGCTTATTTCAGAAAAAAGACATGCTTTTAAATATTTTTGAATTACAAACTTTTGGGCCATATACCTGGATAATTCGTTAATGGGTTTCTGTAGTACCTTTGAACAAATTGTTACAGGAAGTCAAATTGCTTTAACCTTTCTTACATTTTTCCAGCGGGATAACTTTTTGAAATATGCCGTATATTCACGACAGTTAACTTCTTTATAATTAATATAGACTTTTCATAGCACCTGCAAGTTCAGTGATAATTCTAGGGGAGTTAGGCTTCATTGACAATGGGTTTAATTTTAAACAATAGCTGATGCAATTTGACACAAATGCTTGTAAGACGCAAATATCGTTAGTGTAGGGGTGTAGTCATGCACCTGGATCCAGCTGACCGTGCATCCTTATTTATGGCTTTCCACCCTCATTCTTTCGGTGTTTTCTGAAGTCAGCATTATTATAGCATCTAGAAAAAGTACAAAGAACAGATAACAGACAGAGATATGATATAATCTTAATACAGTAAACCAATGATCTGATGAAATTTGAAAGAAACATTTAGAGAACATTGACCTCAATAAAGGAAAATAATGGTTTTACAAGCTTCTTAATATAGCGATAGTGGGATTCGTCGCATAAATAAATATTTTAAGATAATTCAATACATAATTTTTAAGCAAACTTTTTATTTATGTCGTATGAAAAATCCATGGTATTTGGATTTTTTTTCATATACCTATAAATTTATGTAATGAGAATTTGATATACAAAGTAGATAAACGAGACTAGATCTAACGATAATCACTGAATAATTAAAGCTTTCTGATCAGTTTGCCGTTTTTTTTTTTAAAAAGTAAGGCGAATTATATTTTCAAAATGTATTTTAATGAACAATGGCCGTTGTTCTTTATAGCAACCAAAACAAGGTCTTTTTATGATAAACTTGCAACAAATAAAGCTACAAAATAGCAAACTCTCAACGCGTCAAAAGAAACAAGCAAAAGATCATTAATTTTAAATATTTTTATCTTGACATTTTTTATGTAATTTGTTAGGTTAAATGACACAAACAACTCAAAACCTGATTATACAATCATTTATCATTGCGACAATTAATCAACAAAGTGTTACAAGGTCTTCAAAATTCGCAAGTCATCTTCAGTAACATACAATGATACTGATAAAAATGTTAACGTTGCCTCATTGCATCATTATGGATGGATTTCACTAGGACCACTAAATAAATGAACAGATCATCAATCGACTTCTACAAACAATACGGATATCTTTGTTCGCCGAGTCAAATGCACATTAAATGTCTGCACAAATCAGACATCAGAGTCAAAAACACCTTAAATGTCTGCATATGTCAAGCATCGAGTCAAAAGCACTTTATATACCTTCACATATTATACATCGAGCCAAAAGCACCTTAAATGCCTTCACATATCATACATCGAGCTAAAAGCACCTTAAATGCCTTCACATATCATACATCGAGTCAAAACACCTTACATGTAAATGCCTTTAGGTATCATACATTGAGTCAAAAACACCTTAAATCCTAAAGCACATATCTATACATGAATCATTAATTCCATTCTGCTCACAATGCTTGCTGTCCGCAAATGTTTATCCATATATGTGTACTCTTCTTGTTCCCAAGAAATTATTCGGAAAGAAATTGTATTCCAGAATAATATTGCTACCAATATGTAACCGACGGCTAGATGCTTCAAATATGATCTTTCAGGGTGATCAACTTATTCATCAAGAGCAGTATTCAACGACCAAACATTCGCTTGATGAGACTTCGGCGCTTCCTGTTCTTTAGAGACGCCATCACAACCTGTTCGAAAACATCTTTAACGCCAGTTCTTCGTGCTGCTGAACACTCTACGTAACTGAAAGCACATATCTGTTTCGCAAGATTTTTTCCTTCTGATTTTGTAACGGAATCGGAATACTCCACTCTCAGATCGGTCTGAGTTGCCACCAATATGATAGGACGTTTTCTATCGATCTGACGGATTTCCGGAATCCAGAAATCCTGAACACTCTCCAAGGATTCGCGATCAACTACACTAAAGCAGACGACAAATATGTCATTGTCCCTATAATCCTGTGTCCTTACACCATCGTAATCATGCTACAAAAGAGAAGAGTAAATTAAAAAATCACATCTCTTTATTTCTTAAAATAGATATTTGCAGGTATTTTCTATAAAAACATAAAGAGGAAAAAATATTCACCTGTCCTGATAAATCCAAAATATTTAAAGAGTAAGTATCTTCTTTCACTGTGATAGAAGCAGAGTAACTATCCTCCGTTGTGGCGATATATCCATCATCCAGGCCTTGTCCTGTGATGGCTTTAGCGAGGGAAGATTTCCCCACCATTCCATCACCCACCAGGGAACACTGTACAGAAAATTTATTTTCCAAGACAACCATTTTTTTAATATATATTTTTTTTGTTACAACCTTAAACCAAGTGTGGACGCTAATGGTCAAGTCAAACAAAGTACATGTATATGCTTGGAACAAAACTTTGTATTTATATGATTCATTAATTAGATTCATCAGCCAATCACGAGTTTACTGCTTTTATTTAACTCCATGTAATTCACATTGAAATTCAACCTTTTATTCAAAAGAATCTCAGTTTTCGCCAGCTGTCACATTAACAAAGAGGTTAAATGAAATTTTATTTCTTTTTAAATGTTTATTTATTCATTAACCAAAGCACTCTTTATCATTATGTTGTTCTAATGTTAACATTTTAAGAGGTTGAAGATGTAAATGTTATGTATATTGATATTCGAAACGATTTGCCAATGCTTAGAACACAATAAAACAACAAAGTACAAGGACCATATGGTTTCCATTGTGTACTTGTGAAATTAAAAATTCTAGGTTTACAAATCGCATTATATATGCTTTTTATTGTTTTTAAGACGGGGCTAACGTATTTTCAAACTACAAATAATATCAAAGGAGAAAGGCCCACAGAGGCTCACAGGAAATTTTAAGTCAATTTTCAATGATTTTATACATGTACAGTTGGAATTTTAGGTTTTAAACTCTTTTACCAACTAGTAATCTTAACTAAGGCTAAACATTATGTTTAGAATATATATTGCCAATATTTAAACACTTTTTAATTTAAATGAATTAAAACGAATATCATCTCTACTTAGCGACCATTTTTAGCATAATTAAATCTCTTGACTTTGATGGAGTATCATAAAACACATTTCCCCTGATATATCTAGTCCTTTGAGATCTTACATGTAACTTAGATTATAAAACTTTCAGCTGAATTTTCAGCTGTTGGGACTCGGTAAAATGAATGCAGTTATTTCGTTTTGACATTAAAAACTTTTTTTTAATATTGAAAGAAAAAAAAGTTCTATATCATTTGAAAAGTAAACTAAACTGTGTACATATATTACCCGGAAATACAATGAAAACGTTGAATATTCATATAATCATTTAGACTATCACAGCTAAAGTAATATGCTTTAATGTAACTTCTTCTAATGTATTTGTCCTGAGGATAAGAGAAAAAGAAAATAAAGTTTAAAATAACAAACTCAAATTTAAAACTCGTCAGTTCCATACTCCCTTAAGTAATGAGTGTTATTTTTAACTTTATTTTCTTTTTTTATTTTTAACTTTATTTTCTTATTTGTAAATGTATTTATTTTAAAATATATTAATAACAACATGAAGCTTACTTGTTTGTTCGTTAAGCCAGTTTTCCATTTTAAATTTTTATATTTTTAACGGGTTAAAGCTACTGAAAAATTAGGAAGTGTCACTCATTTTATGATATAAATATGCAGGTACATGAAAAATTCAGTTTGTAAAACATGTGCACTTCTTCCTAGTTTACTACATATTATATCGACGTAATTTTCTTTGAAAACATTCTATTTACAGTCATTTAATTATCCTTTTTAGACGACTTAAAAGACTTTTGCAGTACTTCTCAGAAAAAGTCAAGGGCATGGTTTCCATTTCTCACTAAGAAGTCATGTAAATTTGTGTATGATGGGTGGGAAAAAGGAAAACCAAGTAAAAAAGGCTTGAAAATACCTTTCATGGCATAATATATGTCAGAATACAATAAAATATAATTAATAATAACTGCAACGACGCAGAAATGTTCCTTTAGACCACCATCTGTCGCAAACTTATACATTAATTGATTACCCTAACGATGCTGAATTGTAATAAATAGGAAGTAAAGAGGGATTTCATTTATCATTTCTTAAGCTTGTGGGAGCTTTAAATTTATCTTAAAGTTTGTTCCTGTTATACATGTATTTCTTTATTTTTATGCCCCCCTTCGAAGAAGGGAGGGCATATTGTTTTGCTGCTGTCTGTCGGTCAGTCTGTCTGTCGGTCCAATTAGTTTCCGTTCATTTTCTTCACAACCGTTGCACGTACTGATATGAAATTTGGTAAATGGGTTTATCAGGTAAATATCCAAGTAAAGTATTGTTTTGGGTATGATCGTGCCATTTTTGACAGAGTTATGCCCCTTAGACTTGGAAAAATTTCAATTATTTGCAGTTTCCGTTCATTTTTTTCGCAGAGGTTGCACATACTGAAATGAAATTTAGTATACAGATATATCAGATGAATATCTAGGTCAAGTTCTGTTTTGGGTACGGTCGCGCCATTTTTGACAGAGTTATACCCCTTGGACTTAGAAAAATTCCAATTATTTCCGTTCATTTTTTCTTCTCAGAGGTTGCACATACTGAAATGAAATTAAGTATACGAGGGTTGATCCAAAAGTATCCATATCTTTTATATTTGGCGTCATATTATCAAATACAATATACCAAAAGATACACAGATATAAATCTAATTAACATTGAAATTTTATTTTAATAATGTTTATTTGAATTTATTTTATAGGTGTTTAAAACAAAGAGATAAGGGGTGTCGCCGCGTCACAACGGAACGTCACGTTTTAAAGTGTATTTTTTATTTTTTTAGAATGAAAAAGACAAACACATTAAAAAGATTCTAAAAAAGCACTTAATTTCCCAATTTTTTAAAAGACACAATTATCGTCATTTTCTAGTCTTTAATTGAAAATCAAATGAAGGCATTGGTATTTGTGAAGGGATTGTCGAAATGGGAGATCCCAATGGGAAAAAAAACGGCTCGACGAGTTGTTTCAAAATATGAGAATCATCACAAGCGACAGCAACGTCAATCAATCAGACTTACAGAATAAAAAATCTAAGTAAGAGACATCTTGATAGATGGTTTCAGCAATTTTGGGTGGGTGATTGGTCACTGAATGATCAGCAGAGGACAAAAAGACCGAAAGACAGGAGATCGGACTGAAACGTTCAATGATGTCTGACGTCAAAAAAGACAGACGTATAGAGTGACATGTATATGTGAATTTCTAAGTTTGTCTTTGCTACTGTTCAAAAAATTTTGACAGAGGGCTTAATTATGAAACGAGTGAGTGTATTATGGTACCAAGAACTCTTTAAAAAGTGAAACTGGTGAAAGTGTTTGCGAATCATAAATATTTTTTTAATGAAACGAAGGGGAAACGCTTAAAAGTATGACAGTGCGTATCCGTCATATGACGTTATATTTAGGTGCGGCGACTACCATAAACGAACATTGTTTAAAATCCGATATTTTGGAAAGTATACATCATATTCCTTTGAATATTTCAGGTCGGATTTGAAATAAATAAAGCTTCCATTATGTATAATTTTGTTGCTTTACGTCGATTTATAGCAATTTTATCAAAATTGTGACATTACTTTTGGATCAACCCTCGTACAGATTTATCAGATGACTATCTAGGACAAGTTCTGTTTTGGGTACGGTCGCGCCATTTTTGACAGTCCTGTTGGACTTAGAAAGAATTCCAATTTGGGGGGAGGGGGGCATAAGCGTTTTACAAACATCTCTTGTTTGTATTTTAGGATGTTAGCGTGCTGATTTGAAAAAAAAAATCATGGAAAAATATTTATTTTATCAAAGAGAAGATTTCGTGAGGATATCTGCTTGTACTTTATTTTTACATTTATCACTTTGATTTAATTATTCTATCTATGGAAACATAACATTGATATTTAAGAAAATGCATTGATTACATTCACTACCTTGATAAATAAATTTGAAAAATGCCGCAAAATCTGTTAAAGATTTTCGGAAAGTTATTGAATTCATATTGAGACAAACAGCACAAAACTAGATAAAGACAGAAAAAAGTATGCTGTGTTTGAATGGCTGTGTCATTAACACGTATTTCAATTCTATTCTATAAAAACTTGTTCTTTACCATTGAAAAAAACATTTTGAGAAAAAATTAGTAAACATATTTATCTCAAAATGAAATCAATAATAATTTAAACGTTGTCTTCTTATGTATAATGCATTTTTTAAATTATTTGTAAAATGATAATATTTTTTGAATGCAGTGGAAAAGTTTGGAATAGTCAATGTATCATTTATTTGTTCTACTAACCTAGCTTATGTTGTCACTTAAACTATGTCATTAGCATTAGCATTGTCATATAAATTATTTTTATTGAAATGCATATGAATTAGAATTTTCCTTGGAACTAGGAGAATTCACCAGATGTTTTATATACCGTTATCTCTATGTATATCCTATGTAAAATGTAAAATAAGAACATTACAAATAATTTTTTATAATACAAATTAATGTCTTTAAAATACAGCACTGTAAATAGTAAGCGACTCAGTAACGAAACATAACCATATTTGGAAGTAAGTTTGAATTAAATGTTTAATTTTAACTATGTAAGACATACCTGATTTATTAAGGAAAAAAATAATTCTTTTTCAGCATTATGCATGACATGATTATGAGCAATTTTACTTAAACAAAAACCTTTAGGAAGATTTAATGATATTTTTTATGTAATTTTTTTTATAAAGTAGATTATATTTCTTTCTAATTAAAAGTAAATATCAATCATTTTGAAAGTAATGCCATATCTACGAAAGCCCAGAAGGCTCATTCGAGATTCAAGTTTCGAAATACGAGATTCAAAATTCGAGATTCGAAATTCGAGTTTCGAGATTCTTCCAGAAACCAATCAAAAGGCTCATTCGAGGTTCGAAATTCGATGTTTAATTTTAGATTAACCAATCAAATGCGGGTTCAACATTGATTACTCCCCTTTATTATGTTTAATATATCAATAAATCGTTTAATATATTTATAACAAATGAGTCATTTGAATAAATTACAATGCAAGAAAGAGTGTTATATATATTAGAAAGAAAGTTAAATAATCATTTGATTTTTGATCAAAGATATACTTCAATTTATATTTTTCTTAAATATTAAATAGAATACATAATCAGGAATATATATATTTTTGCATTGTCTACTATATATATAAAGGATTGTTGACATAATAATAAAGTTATAA